TGTCACTCAATCAAACAAATACGCATCCATGTGCAAACAGCACCGGCATGAAATGCCCTCCACAGACAATAATATATGCACGGGACAGCCTTTCCACATCACATGTCTTAGCTACGTGTGGTGCTTCACTTTGCGTCTCCATATAAACTTGTGGGACCCCCTCCTCTCCCCTCCCCCCCTTGCAAGCTGAGAGTGCATGATCGCTACGCGATGTCATTGGTCAACATAATTAACTTTGTCCCCGGCAAGGTCAACTGTACGCTCTGTTCGTACTAGATGCAGGGAGGACCAGTTTACTGTTTAGATAGGTCTAGTAACTGGATATTTAAGCTCATGTCTCGATTGTTCTCAAGGTGTATAATCAAAAAATTTTCATAAATGCTGGAAATATTTGGGAACAAGGATCAGAAGTCGTTACGGACGTCATGCTGGACTCAACTCTTGAGTCCGAATATAATTTTTGTCTATATAATAAAAGTCATCGTTTTGGAAAAATTTTCCGGGCGTGTACGTCTCCCCTTTTTAAGTAAGTAGGTCTTGGATCTTGGACTATTGAGTTACTCAAACTCGAACTGTGCCGACAGTAGCTCTTTTATTTTGTACACAGAACAGACTGTAGTCTGTAGTGGGAAAACACAAAGGCTGCCGATTTCTGTCACTTTACCACTATGCGCAGTAAGTTATAGAAATCAAACTTATACGATTACTACAACCGCACAGAGACACGGCTTGCTCTCTGCGCCAATCTGGAAGACGTTATTGGGAGTCAACTCCCCACAATGTCAACTAGTTTGGGAGTCGATTCCCATAATGTCACCAGGTTATTCGGAGTCGATTGCCCATTTAATCAGTTGATGTTATTGGTAGGGACAAAAACGCAATTATGTTTTACTTTGAAGGGCTTTGTCGAGGTTCCTTCTCAAAATTACGAAAGCTGATTTGATCGACTTTAAAAAAAAAAAAGATAAAAGTAATGAAGTAATCTTCTTTGCATTCCGTAGTTTGAGTTTCCACTGTGGACAAGCACGGCTTTCTCCGTACCGGTCTACCTTTGTTTTGTTTTTTTCATGTGCCTGTGTCACGGTAAGGGATGAAGAGGAAAAACATAACGATTTCATTTCGCATGTGTTTTGAATGAAAGAAAAGAAAAGAAAGGAAAGAACCTAGAACCCAAAAACTTACCTTTGTCACCCCCCCCC